TGTTCTAACCTTATGAACCGTATTTTCAGATATATACCCTATTATCTGGGACCGATTTCAGTATACAATTAAAATCCTATTCAAAAACTTTTAAATTAATTGAATTCAGTAATTTATTTCTAAACTGAATTAAATTTAAAAACCTTGTTACTGAAATATGCAATTCTAGATCTCTCAAAATTCTGTTAGACACATCACTTGAGATAAAGGAGGATATGTTATGTTCAAAAAATATCTAAAATTAATTATATTAAAAAAAATAATGCAAAATTATTAGAAAAGACGCATCTTATAAAGAATAATGGGTGATTGATGTAAAAATTAAAGTATTTAATTTAAAAAAAATATTTAAACAAAAGTTATATATTCATATCTAAAAAGATTTCAATTAATATTAGGCCATTATTTAATAGTTATTCAATTTTTTAATTTTGTATATTTAAATAATTTATTTTATTTAAAATAATTAACATACGACAATAAAATTTAATATTAACATAATTTTTCAAGGATAGAATAATTTATAAAAGCAATATTTTTTTCAATTACAAAAATTAAAAATTAAATTATATACTTGCTATAGGTGTAATCGATAATGTAAAATGCGATTTTCAAAAGTTGTGTACGAAAGCTGATATGCAAAAGTTAGCATAAATATTGGTGATTGCCAATACCCGGTTGGTACCGAATGGTCAGATACAATTATTATCGAACGGCATTTGACATTATCGATTACACTTTTTCGTAGATATATAAGATATTTATTTATTTATTGCATTTATTTCATACTTGTTCATATATAATTTTCATATATTTTTCCAGTATAAGTTTAATAAAGATGAGAATTTCACATTGTTATTAAATTTAATGAAATTATTGTATAAAATCTAGGTTATTTGCTTCTTTTCTATTTTTTTTTATAATTTTTTTTTTGTTTTTTATTTTTAAACACTTTTAAATGTATTTTAATAATTATTTTTTTGCTTCTTTTTAATAATTTTTAAAAATGTTTTAAAAGAAAAACATTCAGTCAATAATTGTTTTACACATATTGAATATAATAAATATTCTTAATTTATTTGTTTATATTTTTTATATTTCAGAAAAAAATATTTAAATATTTATATTAATTGAACAAAAAAAAAATGTATTATATTAATATAAATATATAATAATTATAAATATTAATTAAATTCGGTATTCCGTTATTTTTAATAAAATATTTTTTTTTTATACAAAAATGGCAGCACACTTTCCCTTTTTATTTTTTTTAAATAGTTTTTCTTTTTTTGTTTTTTGCTCGGAGGATGTCAAATACAATAATTTTTTGTTCTTTACAATTTTTCTTTTTTGTTTAATTAAATTATTAAATTCTTCTTAAATATTTATTTTTTTTATTTTGTAAGATTTTATAGTATATTTGAAGGCGTTTTAATTATTAATAATGTTTTTTCTTTTTTTAAAAATAATTAAATTATTTCAAAAGAAAAAAAAATTTTATTTATTAAACAAATATTTCAATATTATTTTATTTATTAATTGTATGCTATTATGAATAAATCGGTTGTTTTTCATATTTATTTTGATATTTTAACAATAGTTATATTTCTTTAATTTAGAAAAGAAGCAAATTTTTGAGGAAAAAAAAATATTTAATTAAAAATTACATATTTAATTTTTAATGATTTTTATTTTTAATTATTAATATTAATTATTTTAATGCGTACTTTTTTATTGAAATTCAAATATTATAGTAATATAATGGCCCCTGTCATTATTGTCATAAAAAAGTGAATGAAAGAAAAGATTACAATGCAGAATAGCAACTATTTTTTCACAATTCAATTTTTTTTTTAAAATGACACTAATAATGAGTTATAGATTCACAAAAATGTGAGTAATAAAAGGAATAATGACGGGCCCCATTTATTTCTATTTATTTTTTAATTAATTCATTAATTCTTTTAATTGTATAATAAAAAAAATTTTTTTTTGTATGGGAATGAAAAGTTTTAATGAGTATTAAGATATTTAATTTGTCTTTAAATTTTCGAAAGTTCTGAATGTATGTTCTAAATCATATATAAAGAAAAAAAAGACATTTAACGTCAAATTGACTTAATAAGTATGCAATTAAAACAGTATTGCTGAATAAGTTAAGTTGACGTTAGATCTGTCACTTTAGTGAACGCAAAAAAAAAAAAAATACCAAAAAAATAAAATGAGTAAAAGTAAAAATTAGAATATTGATGTTTTCCTTTATAATTGCTTTTGAATTTTGTTGATGAATTAGTTTATAAATTTTTTTAAATTTATTTAAAATATTTTTATTGAAAAATTCAAAAGTTATTGACAATTTCATAATTTTACGATATTTACAAAAATTACGATATACCATCATATGGTAAAATAAACATTTATCATATCGATATATCATAAGAAAATTTACAATATCATCGATTTTATTTTTAATTTTCATGATTTTCTAAATTTTCCTAATTCACCACAATCATAAAATTTCATATTATTTTTATTTTATTTTAATTATTTCAGTTTAAATATTAAAACAAAAGTGAATAAAACTGGATTTTAAATTTAAATCCAAAATTCTGCGAGGTAATTTCAAAATTAATTAAAAACAAAAAAAAATAGAATGTAACAATTTGGAATTCAAAATCAAATTCAATATTAAGAAATAAAAATACAATTTAATGCAAAAAAACATAGAATGTTGAAATTTATAAAATTCTTAAGTAATATAAAGTACATTTAATCTTTAATTTTGTAAAATCAATTACAGTTTCTGTTTATTTTTCTAAAAAATTTCAATAAAATTAAAATTAATATTGTTATTAAAATAAAAATTAATTTTCAAAATTTATTTTAATGAAATTTATTGTTTAGGAAATATTTTATGTTAAGAAACTGTTTATGTAGAAATAATATAATAATATGTATGCACTATACACTGACATCCAAAATGCAGTAGATATTAATTTAGTACTACAGTGTATCTGTGACTCGTATTGTAAAATAAAAAATTTATACAATGTAGCAGGATCTAAATTGCTAAAAATGGGTTTTAACAGAAAGCATAGCGTATGAACACTGTAGTTAAACTGTATTAGAACTTTTGTCAGTGCAGTTTGGATGTTTTGGATAGTAAATGAAGATTTCGAAAGAAAATATAAATGTAATTTGAAAATTACTCAACTTTATGAAATATTTGCTTTTTAACATGAGATATTTAAAAATTTTAGTTTTTTTTTTCTTAATGTTTTAAAAAAGAAAAGCGTGTCAACATGCTTAAATATTTTGGCTTAATAGATTTTACAAAATTTCCTATTACTTCGTTTTGTTCACTTATATATATTGATTTTTAAATTAAGCTCAAATTTAAATATGAAGTAATTGATATTTTATACAATACAATAGTAAACCTTATTTTCTAACAATAATAATTATTGTAGATGATAGAAAACACCATAAGTTTTGTTTTTTTTTATTTTTATATTTTTATATTTATATGATCCCAATAAAGATACAATATTCAGCTTTTGTTTTTTTTTTTATGTTATTATCATTTTATCAGTTGGAATAAATTTTTTTTTTCAATATTTTTTTTTTATTAAATTCATAAACTCTTTACATTTATTTTCAAAGTTTTCAAATAGAGCATTTTTGTTTTATATTAATAAATTTGCTAAAGAATATTTTCATTTTTATTTTTAGGAATATAAATTGTGTGCTAAATTTTATTTTTGTTTAGGCTTTTATATTTATTTTTGTTTTTGAATTTGTTTTCAGTCTAAATTGATATTTAAAATAGAATTTCCTTATACAAAAAAAATCAGGAAAGATAGAGTTTCATCCTTTAATTTTTTTTTTTTAGAATTTTTCGATTAATTTAAATGAAAGCTAAGGGGGCATCTACCAAAATGAAGATCTAATATCAAATTTATTTACTCGGCAATTACAATTTCAATTCAATTCATCAATTTGGATTTTAGATCTGCATTTTGATAGACAATCTTATTTAAATATTGAAATTTTTTAGTGCTAGAAAATATATTATGCTAAAAAATTTAATTATTATGATTGAAATTTACAAATATGTATTAAAAAAAAATTATTGGTTTTATTGTAATTCTAAGCGAACTTAGGTGATTCACAAAAATTTATAATGATCGTTGATTTCCAAATTGAAATAATACGGTATTATTATACAATTCAGCAATTCACATTTATAAGCTGAATTATATATTTACACCGTATTAATGCATTTCGGCAATCAAGCAATATCTTTAACTATAATGTGTTTTAAATTGAAAAATTAGCATTTTAAATTGCGACATAGCATCTTAAATTGCGACTAAAATTTAAGAATACTAAATGATGAATTTATTAAAGTATTTGATTCCAATTATTAGTATATTTCATTTGCTATCAGATATTTAAGACAGATGCTATCAGATAATTAAGACATTGCTTGTAAATTTTAAATTCAATCAATTTTGAAACAAAAAAAAACTTATTTAAATGAAATTTTAACTATATTTATTTTTTGATTTTAGATTCAAGGCGATATTGGTTTGCTATTATTTAATTTCTATTTTTTTTTTTTATATATTATTTATGACAATAAATGCTCACAGTTTTTTTCAGCTTTCTGTATTCATTGCGAAAAATTTCTTCAATTATAAAATTATGCATAAATGATTAAAGATTAAAGTTCTAAATAGAATTTTACAAGGTTAATTACTTTGAATTGTGTAAATTAAATTATTGAATAATTTAATTTAAAAATTAAAATAATATCAAGCAAAAAAATACTGCATTTAAATATTACAGGAAAAAAAAATCGTAATTATATGCAGGATGAAATTTTCGAGGTCAACCGAAAAATTCTCAAAATTTGATTTTAAATTTTTTACTAAAATTCTCTATGCAATCTTTAAACATGAGAAATATTTAATTAATTTCTAAAAATAATATTATTGATATTTACATGTAAAGTGGAATTTGTATTTTTTAATTAGAACTACAGATCAGAGTAATGAAGTGACAAATTCAATATTTGTTGATTATTATAGGTATTGAGTTCATTTGATTATTTTTAGTTAGTTGTTTTATGCAATTGAATTTTAAAAATAAAAATATTGAAACCGGAGTTTAGAAGCTTAACAAATTTCAAAGTTTTTGTTCGATTTCAATTCAAGTTTTTATTCAGCTTTTCATGTAAATATAATAATATTTTACACAACTTTTTTTTATTTTTTGCTTTGTATATATTTATTTCCTTAAAATCTAAATAGAAGTCTTAAAAAGTAATATTTATTTTACCTCATATAATTTTCTTTGAATTATTTTTTATTAAAGTTTTAAAATATAATAACATTCAGTAAAAAAATTATTATTCATTTGTATTCTTGTTTGTTTTTCATGTTTTAACTCGTAGTAGTATTCAAACTACTGGAACTTTTTGTTGGTTGTTGATTTAATTCATTAAAAGTTGAACTATTTTCATCTGAATTTGAGACATTACCATTATTCGATTTATGTGTACCATTTTGTTGATGGTGTTGCTCCTCTACACCATTCTCATCTTCATCAGATTTATTATTATGATTTTGCAATTTAATTGATGCAATAATTTTTTGTACTTCATCCAATGTTTCAAGTGAATTTTTATGTGTAAACTCAGTTGGAGGCTTCCTAATATCATTCTCTTCATCATTATTTTCATTCTCACTGCCGGCAAGATTTTCCTGTCCTAATATAACTTTGCGTATTTTTTCAGCATCATGTTGATGTGGTACAAAACTTGTCCACTCATTTGTAACTGGATCCAAATATTCAATAGTATTCAAGAATGTTTTACCAGAGAAACCACCAATGGCATACAATTTATCTTGTACAACAACTACAGAAACATTTGATCTTGGAGTTATAAGAGGTGGTCCAACAACCCATGATTTTGTATTTTCATCATATACTTCAGTGGAACTTAAAGATTGAGTTCCATCGCTACCACCAACAGCATATAATTTATTCTGGAATTCCGCAACACCGCAACCACGTCTTGGTGTTAATAACGGTGAAGCGTATATCCACACATCTTGATCGGGATCATAACTTTCTACAGATGACAAACAATTCCAGGCATCACTACCACCAACTGCCCATAATTTACCATTATGTGCTGTAACACCAGCTTGGTACCGTCCAGTATTTAAAGGTGCTATCTGATTCCATTGATCGTTCTCGGGTGAATAAACATCGCATTGTTTAATGCCAATTTGACCATTCCAACCACCAATACAATAAATTTTGCTATTAAGAGCACAGGTACCAGCGTTACTTCGGGCTAAGGGTAAACGTTTGCGCTTCTGCCATTTTTGTTCGCCGAATTTCAAACATTCAACGGTGTCCAACTCTGTGGTACCATTACTGCCACCTACGGCGTATACAGTATTATTCAATACAGCAACTTGAACACGTCCACGTGCTTCATTCATATTTGATTCGTGAGTCCAAGTATTTGTTTCTGGACAGTATGATTCAACTTTTTTCAAACACTCAGCACGATCATAACCACCTAAAATTATAAAAATTCCGCAGGAAAAAAATGAAATTTTCCCATTATAATGGAAAAATGTTAGTGTAGTAGTAATTAAATATTTGAAATATTTTCAAAATTTTAGCAATTTTCATAAAAAAGAAGTTGGAAAGAAATTAATTTTTTCAAAACATCAAATTTTAATGCTACTTGTATCTAATTTTTTTTAAATATCCAAAAAAAAAGAACAAAAATTGTTTTTTTTTTTCAAAACCAACCTTCTTTTAGTATCAAATTACCAAAACATTAAACTTACCACAAACCCAAAGCTTTCCATTGAAATCAGCAACTCCCAATCCACATTTAGGGCCAGACATAGTTGCGACTTCACAAAATAATTCTAATTCACTTGAATTGCGATTGCTTGCATTTCGACTACCTTCTACACTGGCATCAACACTAGAACCGTTTGTACTAGCTGTTGTTGATCCAAGTCCAGTAGAAGCAACTGACACATTAGCTGATGGTAAAGACTGTGTTGTTGATTGCGTTGATGTCTGACCCTCTGCTGGCTGATTGTTTACAACATTTGCTCCATTTAATGGCGATGGAGGTACGTTATTTAAACGAAGTTTGACTGATAATCTCATTAAACGACCGTTTATTGCTGCCACAGCAATGAAAGCATTTTCGCCACATTTTGATGAACTAATTAAGTTCCAATCGGTTTCTGATTGATTATCATCTTCACCTAGATCTCTGCTATAAATTAAGACTCTAGGTTTAACTGGTGCTCCCAATTGTTTACGTCTCTGTTTAATATTATTTGGGCATTTTAACACCATACGTTTGTAATCTTGTACAATGTCTGATTCAGATTCTTGACCCGGTGGCAAATCTGAACAATCTTGTAAGGAATTATCCAAAGCCAAGTACAAAAGATGACTTCGTTCAAGTAATTGCGAATCCTAAAATAGGTTTTTGAGTTTTTTTCAAGGCACAAACAAATGTTTTTGAAAATTTTGGATGGGATAGGGTTAAGGACATAATTTTGTATACATATAAAATACAAAGGAATTTAAGTTGTTCATACGAAAGGAAAAGATTTAGGTTAAAGGAAAAAAATTTAATGTTAATTAAATTATTCAATATATTAATATTGGCAATCTTTACAGATAATGATTCGTCGACCAATTGTCTTTTGATCCAGTCGAGCACTAAACGAGACAACATATTATGGGTAACCAATGACATTTCCTGTTTCGTTTGATAGAGTACATCGATCTGGACACAGGACAATTGAAGGAAACCAGCCGTCTCTGATACAGCTGCAAACTAAAATTAAACAAGATATAAAAATTAAAGTGACTGTATTAAAAAGTTGTTGATTTCGAAATTTACCTCAGAATTAATAAACGCATCAACTTGATTAACAAAACTTGTATTCTTATCAATACCTGGTAATGATCTTATCTCAATACATGTATCTGGTGATAATTCCGATATTAAATGTTGAGCACACTGTTTAAAACAACGTTCCATTCTTAATTTCCATGCAGCCAAATAGACATCTTTAACCAAAACATCAGGAACTTCCAATTTACCAGTATATGCATAATCAACTAATATCTGTAATGCATGCTTGGTGATATTACCATTCAAACGAAAGCTTGGAATGTCTTCACTGTGACCGTTCTTTTGATCCTACAATAAAAAAAAGCATTTATTTCATTATAATCTAAAAAATTTGTTTGAAAACCAACCTGATCGGTGCTAAAAAGCTCCATAAAATATGGAGAAACACAAGCCAAAACATTTTTATGAGCATGAATGTCAGAATTTCCAACCTAAAATAAGAAACAAGATAACGGAGAAATAATTAGCACGTGTATTTTATTTTGAAATTTAAAATTAAAATGAAATAAACATTTACATTAAGCACAACATCACAGAACAAACGATGTTTTCGCATTGTGTGTAAACTTTGAAGGAATGATGCTTTCATTTCATCATCGATGAATTTAAGTAAACCAGCATCTTCACAGGTTTCGTCTGAAAATAAATAAAAAATAAAATAGTATTTTATTTATGTATGTATAATGTAAAATAGTATTTTATTTATGTACTTATGTATGTATGTTTATTAAAATGCATAATTATTTTTATATTTTATTGCTTCAGGTTCGAAAAAATCAAAATCTTTTGTTCTAGAAATATTTCAAAATTAACATATTGGACAAAATTTTCTCTTTTTATTTTGATATTAAAGTCATGTAAAAAAAAAATTTAAATATTTCTTGCGTGTCAGTTTTCTGTTCAGAATATATTGAGTATTTCAAATATTTAATGAAGTTAACATAGCAACTAGATGTCACTAATATATTAAAATATGTCATACATATTATATAGTATACGTACATACATACATAAAAATGTATAGGATAGTTCAAATTTAATACGCCACGAAATAAAATATCTTTTCTTCTATTCTTTATATATACAACTAATATAAATTATTTATGTAAAAAATATTTTTTTTTGTTTTACTAATTTATTTTTATTTTCAGATTTCCTCACAAAAGATTTCTTTGTCAATTTAAATTATAAGGCTAATACCACAAGATAAGGGTGACATCTGACGAAACAAAATATTATTTCTCTTTCATCATGTTTAGGAATTTTTCAACTTCATAAATTAAGGGCATCGAATATTTCGAACTAAAATCTGAAAAACATAATTTCACATATTATTTTTCAAATAATCGGAATTAATTTTGGTTCCTTTTATTTAAAATTTACAAATATTGAGCCTATTTGAATCTGTATGCCTTGAGCACTTTAAGGACAACATTTTTTTTGTGCATTTATTACAATTTTTTTTTTGTTGGAGAGAGGGTGTGAGAAGCACTTAAAGGAATACGCTTAATGCATGCAAGTGTAAACAAACGGAACGCAGCCCTCTAATAGGTAAAAATCTACATACAGTGACAATTCATAAATTTTTATTTATGACATAACATTTTTTTTTTTTTATAAAACAATTCTTAATTAAATGAATTAGATAACAAAATAAGTGCATAATTGTATATAAAAAAAGACTTTGATATCAGAAAATTTTCCATCTAGAAAGTAAATAAAAATAATTTTTATCGTATTTTTATGTGAACTAGAAAAAAAAAAAAAAACGAAAATGCAAAATAAAAGTTGAATGAGCTTTTATGCCAATTAGCAAAACAAATTAAAATAAAAGTACAAAGCAATAAACCACAAAATTAAAACCGCGCATACGACATCACAATGCAAATTAACGACCTACTTATTTATAAATATAAATTGAGTACATATACGTATGTATGTATGTATGTAGTGGAGGTATGTGCTGCGAGAACCCCCATATCTATATTCTATAAATTAAAACCGTTATTCTAAGTTAAATGTTGCAATTATTTATTTTTGTTTTCTTTTCTATTTTTTTATTTTTCACTCTTGCTTTTTTCTCTTTTTTTTATTTATTTACTCTTTGTTGCTAAAAGAATATTTTCCCATTAGACCCAATGTTTTTTTTCTTATACTTTTATTCTCAAAATAAGAATAATTTTATTTTCACCATGAATTATTTTGTTATATGTATGTTTGTATGTATGTAAAAAGTACATTAAAGTAGTGAAAAAGTTCATTGTTCTGATAAAATCAAATAAAATATACATACAAAATGTAATAAAATTAAAATATATCAGAAGAAGCAAAAAAAAATTGAGAATTATTTCAATTAATTTTAAAAATTGGACGACGATCTCAAGGTGATTTTATTTAGGGTAGGTAGTAATATCAGTACATATGCACAAAAAGACAATGGGGAGAAAAAAAAACAAATTATAGAAAAATAAAAAAAAATATAAAAATTTGTGCCAAAAATGGGAATTAAAAATAAGTACTTGTGTTTGTATGTCAGTTCGAACGTTCGTAGAAATTAAGGTAGGCAAACATGAAAATTAAATTATATTGCACGTTAACTACTTCATGCCTCTAATATTGAAATATAATTAATGACTTTCTTACCAAATACTTTTCGGCAAGTCATCGTAATTTAATTAACGGTTTCAAGATAAAAACGATTTGGAGAAGCAATGTATATTTGTATAAATTTGAATATGAGTGCACATATCCTATCCTATAATTATAATATTTATGTAACACATACATAAATAGGAAGCATTGTAGTTTAAAAAATTTATTTTAATAAGTTTTCAAAAGGAAACAGACGTTATTTATAAGAATAATCATACTCGTATTTTCAAAGACAGTTCGATCAACTATATGTCAATTATAAATTTACGTTGCTAACGCACATATTTCCTGATTCAACAACCATAATTTCATTTGAAAATAAAAAAAAAATCATTTGTATTTGCTGACTAGATAAAACTGAGTGCGGATGATAATTTCTAACAAGTGAATGTCCATTACACGAATAATGAACTAAAATGGTCACAATATAATTACCAACACCCCTACTACCAACAATATGCAAAAAGTAAAAATTAATGTTTCAACCTTTAATATTAAAACTTTTCTACAAAGAAATTTTCCAATGAAAAATATCTTATTAATTTCTATTATCACACCATTAAAATTTTCTCCCTATATATACATTCATTTGTGGTTCAAATTGATTGAAACAATCACTTTCTCTTTTATAATTTTTCTCACTTGTTGAAAATGTACTATGTACCTATTATTTTTATGTTTAAACATACATATCTATTAGTATATTCAAGTATACTCTGTACACAATAATTAAATTTTAGTTTTGGCTTTTAATGCATAAAATTGCATTCTCATCTGTCAAAAGTTTAACGAATTATGTCTTTAAATGTCATGTCAGTTTGGATTTCATTCAAAAATTATTTCTTTTTCTGTTTTTTTTTTTCTTTTTTGGCAAATAAATTCGATTACTTATTTTTCATTTTATTGTTTAATAGAATTTTGGAAAATTGCCATTATTGAGAATGCACTTGTAGTTATTGTGACAAATTCAGAAAGTAAGCATTTTCTTAAAAAAAAACAAAAACAAATTATTTAATTATAATTTAATTTAATTGTATTTTTGTAATTTAAATTAATATTATATATTCCATTATTAAAATTAATTTAAAAAAAGCAATTATTACTTTAAATTACATAGAATATAATTTTATTATTATTGTACGAACACCGATACATTGTGCGATTGAGATGAATTTGACAAGACAAAATGTCATTCAAGACGTGTGCCTAAATTAGAAATGGATAGAAGTTGGAAGGATAAGACGTTTAATTAATTTTGGATGTATGTATTGTCACATATTGTTATTATAGTAGTGCACTAAATTAATTATCAAATTTTAATTAAAATGTCACTGTCAATTTTACTCTCTCAAAAGGTTTGTAATTGAGAAAATATTGTTAAGTAAATTCAATTTCATATAATCATGTAATTGCATACTTGCATGCTATATACAAATTTTGTTTATTAAATAATTTATTTTAATTTTCATTAACAAAATTTAATTTCTTTGATAATTAAGTAATAAAAAATATTATAAATATATTATGAAGGTAATCAAAAGTAATTCATTTTCATTAATATTAAATGCACACATTAATATAATTACAATCAGTTATTCATTTACATATGTAAATGATTACATTAGTGTGCATATAGATTAAACCAATTTTCATTCCTATATAAGTAGCATACCTATATAACCTACATACATATATAGATATATTAGCCCTTACCATTCATAAATAGTTAATTATTATATTCAATAAAAAAATTTTTTAATTCATTTTCAAGTTCAAGGTTTAATACACCACATAATGTCATCATTAATAATATATTGGGAATGCTTTTTTCAAATAACGATGGTTATTATAAAATTATTAAGTTTACTTATACATACATGCACATATTTGTACACGTTAGACTCATTTATTCATGACACACGTGTGCCACCTACATATAGTTAGTACGCAAGGAAAAAATTGGATGGCCTTTCCATGTAAGTATTACACTTATACATATTTATGGTATATATGTATATTAAAAATTAATGTCAACATTTATTTTATAACCATTAACCTTCAATTATTGATTGATTGACTGATTGATTTATTGGTTTTGGTCTTTTTTTTTTCAAATATTTTGTTATCCTCTTTTATTTTTTATGCATACCATAAACTAAATAAAATATTTATCATACTTATGTATTGTTAAACAAACATACACATAACTTATATAATATTTTGTGAATGTGGTGAATATTATTTATTAGCATACGAATTAAGGACAAAAATATCATTCACCTCAATTATTTATTCAATTGTGTCATTTGCATGCATTGCAGGACAAAACCTATTCCATAAAATTCATTCTATTTGAAAGAATAAAAAATCTAATTCAAAAATAAATAATTCATTCGGAATAAAATTGTATGTATATACCCATTCCTTTTGTATGTGGCGAAAATTCTTTAACCCCCGAGGTGTAACCAGCCTTTTTTTGTTTTTGAATACACACATAGTTTTTCGCTGCATTTACTTTTTTTTTCCAGCAAATTTATTTTAATTAATTATTCATAAGAAAATTATTATTATGAAAATTATTCTCATTCATATATTTAAAGATTAAATTAATCATCATAAAAATATTAAATTAGTTGTTAGAATGACAAGGTAGTGAACGTTCAACATACACAGCAGGGAGGAACGTTCAACATACACATCAACTAATCAAACCTGATACAGGAAACAATGCATTAAATTTCAATTAAGTAGCTTGGAGTAGCTCTTTCAGAGAATTATTGTAGGTTTTATAAAAAGACGTTATATGGATTACGGAAGTTTGACAATGAGCCTCTTTTTGACTTAGTGCTGAATGGTCATGTTAGAGACCTCGTCAACTGTCTTTTCAACTAACTATAGCTTTCATATTATTATATAGATTTGATATGTTAGTATATATGTAAATTTAAAAAATGACTTAACTACGAAATCTTTAAACTAAGAAT